TTAAGAATGTACCAAACTGTGAACTCCCCACACTTTAATGTTGATGACGTTTTCAGTGAAAGAAAACCATCAACTTGTGAATTATGTCACTAAAAACATGATTTATTAGAAAGATTCGGGACACTGTGTTATCACAGGAGAGTGTATTATCACTGATCGTTAACAGAGAAAATATTCACGAGTACCACTGTTACTCAGCTACAGAATGTAAGTTTACACGATACATTTACTAAAACAAGAGAGAAAGAAATGACCAGTTACAAAACTGTTCCGTCCATTCTTTCTTCAAAACATAATATATTTAATCGCATGAAAACCAGTTAGGAGAAGATACGACGCTGAGGTTTCGCTTTGAACAAGTACCGACTTTCAACTAGGATTTAAATCCGAAAAACGTCTCTTTCTATACCAGTCTTAAGTTTGTTATCGGAGAAAAAAATTTCTTTTAGTCATACAACCTCCTGAGTTTTATAATCTAGTCATACAACCTTCTGAGTTTTATAATATAGTCATACAACCTTCTGAGTTTTATCATCTAGTCATACAACCTTCTGAGTTTGGTCATCTAGTCATACAACCTTCTGAGTTTTATAATCTAGTCAGACAACCTTCTGAGTTTTGTCATCTAGTCTTACAACCGTCTGAGTTTTATTATCTAATCATACAACCTTCTGAGTTTATCATCTAGTCAGACAACCTTCTGAGTTTTATAATCTAGTCAGACAACCTTCTGAGTTTTATAATCTAGTCAGACAACCTTCTGAGTTTTATAATCTAGTCATACAACCTCCTGAGTTTATAATCTACTCATACAACCTTCTGAGTTTTATCATCTAGTCATACAACCTTCTGAGTTTATCATCTAGTCAGACAACCTTCTGAGTTTTATAATCTAGTCATACAACCTCCTGAGTTTTATCATCTAGTCATACAACCTTCTGAGTTTTCTCATCTAGTCATACAACCTCCTGAGTTTTGTCATCTAGTCATACAACCTTCTGAGTTTTATAATCTAATCATACAACCTTCTGAGTTTTATCATCTAGTCACACAACCTTCTGAGTTTTATAGTGCAGACAATTCACTATGGCTAGCTTTCATACATAAAATAACACGAACACACGCTATTATACATGAAAGAACAATTAGTTATTTGTTTGTGGTATTTCGGGCAAAGCTACTCAAAGACTACCTGCCCTAACCGTTCATAATTATGAAGTGATATAATTGATGGAAGGCAGCTAGTAAAACACCACCGTCCGCCAACCCACAACCCCATGGTTTTGTTTTGTTGATAACGGGACCCGAACCATGGAACTTTACCTTCACAGTCCGACACGCTAATCACTGAGCCACGTGCTATTATCCAATAAAGAATTTCTTTTTATAGCGAAGAAGGAATAGAACAATGCGCATCTTCTTCGTTTTTATTTAGATTTTTTAAATTTTTTTAGATATTTATTTTTAAGGTAATATTTTAGAAAAAAGAAGGAAGGTTTTACTTTCTTTCTTTTTGACATTCTTGTAATTTACGAACAAAACCTCTGAATCGTAAAATTGTATTAAATAAAATATTATCCTGCATTACGATAACAGATTGCTAGCCCTGCAAGAATCACTTTATAGCGCGCTTCAAAAAATCTTTAATACTTCAGTGTATGTTTTAAAAGGCATGTCAAACGTAAAATTCAATGTGTATTTAAAAAATCACATGCATGGCAAACGACAGAAATAAAATAAGCAAAACTATTCAAAAGCATCTGATTGATGAAATCCACGTCGAATTTCAACTTTTTATCTTCGAAATGTAAGTCGGGAAATTTCTTAGCTTAGGAAATCTTATGGAAAACTAAAGCTCAACTTTACTTAATTGGATAATCTAGTTCAATAGACAAAGTAAATTAGTTTAGACAGAAACTTTAAAGTTTGGAGAATAATGCGTAGTTCGGTATATCGTATATTGTCATTGAAAAACATTCTTACAAAAAAGAAAAATGTAGACGATTTTTAATTCAATGCGCAACTTTGTGTTTTATGTATTGCTACAAAACAATTCTTAAAGATATACAGCCATGTGTTAACTGATCAGATGTAGGGTATAACCACATGTTAACTGGTCAGATGTAGGGTATAACCACATGTTAACTGATCAGACGTAGGGTATGACCACATGTTAACTGATCAGACGTAGGGTGTAACCACATGTTAACTGATCAAACGTAGGGTATAACCACATGTTAACTGATCAGACGTAGGGTATAACCACATGTTAACTGATCAGATGTAGGGTATAACCACATGTTAACTGATCAGACGTAGGGTATAACCACATGTTAACTGGTCAGATGCAGGGTATAACCACATGTTAACTGATCAGACGTAGGGTATGACCACATGTTAACTGATCAGACGTAGGGTATAACCACATGTTAACTGATCAGACGTAGGGTATGACCACATGTTAACTGATCAGACGTAGGGTATAACCACATATTAACTGATCAGACGTAGGGTATGACCACGTGTTAAGTGGTCAGACGTAGGGTATAACCACATGTTAACTGGTCAGATGTAGTGTGTAACTGGTCAGACGTAGGGTATAACCAAGTGTTTAACTGATCACAAATGGTCAGTATGATTAACTCACAATGTTAGAGAACTTTACTAAGTATTAAGTCTCCTTTGAAGTCCTTATTTTCTTATTCGTCACTGGATTTGTTCATTTATCTAAAAGACGTTATTGTAAACTGCTGAATGAATCAAGGTAGAACTTAACGACTATATAACCCACACACGTGTTCCCGATATCGATTAACAAACTAATGAATAGAGAACGTACCCTTAAGTTTAACCCCAAGAATTTATCGATCTCTAGGCCCCACTCCTGATGAGAGAATGGAACAATTATATTTCTGACTTTAACGATCTCGTCACTGATGATTTATTTGATATATCTTGATGATAAATCAAAAATCTTCCATTTTGCGAAAACCCTAGTTTAAGAACAACAATTTTAGCTTTTAATTTTCAAGACAAAAGCTTAAATTAAGATTTTTTGTTTTATTTAAATTTAAAATGATTTCAACGATTTGTGTGAAGAGAAATTTAAAATATAAGTTTTAAAAGCTATAGAAGGTCAGACGATAATAATGTAACCAACATTTCAGCTAAACGACGTTCATCGTGGAGAGAAATAATGTGACCAATGTGTGGTACGAATATTTCCCTAGACAAACATCAAACCCGTTATCAGTTCTTACTAGAAACCATCCAGCGGTATAAATATTTCCCCAGACAAACGTCAAACCCGTTATCAGTTCTTACTAGAAAACATCCAGCGGTACGAATATTTCCCCTAGACAAACATCAAACCCGTTATCAGTTCTTACTAGAAACCATCCAGCGGTACGAATATTTCCCCTAGACAAACATCAAACCCGTTATCAGTTCTTACTAGAAAACATCCAGCGGTACGAATATTTCCCCTAGACAAACACCAAACCCGTTATCAGTTCTTGCTGGAAAATATTCAGCTGTTAGTTTGATTGATTAAGGATATAAACGCCACGTGATCTTATTTCTGCCTATCACGCCTTTATTACATATTGTCGAGTAAGATCCCTACAGAACATTTTCTGTGATTCATTTATGGGTAATAAATTCTCCTTTATTGGTAGTGATACAGAGAAGAATGCTGTGTGTCACATGACACATTACTCATTGTTAGAGTACTGTGTCTCTCTATCTTACACATTCTTACATTCCTTTATCTATCGACACCATATTTAATTCTGTCTTTAGTTTATCTATCGTTCAAGGGTTGGGAATGATTTTAAGTTTGTATACATCACCGAGAAATTACCTTTAATGTTAATTGTTTTATTGTGATTTTTTTTCTACAGTTTGTTTCTCGAGTTTAGTTTCAGTTCATCCTTATACCGAGTACATTTCGTGTAAAATTAATAGTTTTACTACTGAATCATTCAGCTGAAGCTAAAGAAGACTTTCGGATTTCATCAGAGTCATTCTCGATTTCTTCGTAATGAGAACAGTATTTGGTCAAAATCGATTATCTAGTGTTCCGCCAGTAAGAGGTTTTTTATTAAAATCAAAACCAGTAAGTTACGTATAGGATAAGCCAACATAAACAGAGGTATAGGAAGGAAATTAAAAGTGGGTGCACCCATTAAAGCCAGGGTCCAGGTCTCTCCTTACTATCACATTCTGCTTATGTCTATAAAAACTTCTATCTTTACTTACTCTCACATTCTGCTTATGTCTATAAAACCTTCTGTCTTTGCTCTCACATTCTGCTTATGTCTATAAAACCTTCTGTCTTTACTTACTATCACATTCTGCTTATGTCTATAAAACCTTCTGTCTTTACTCTCACATTCTGCTTATGTCTATAAAACCTTCTGTCTTTGCTCTCACATTCTGCTTATGTCTATAAAACCTTCTATCTTTACTCTCACATTCTGCTTATGTCTATAAACACTTCTATCTTTACTCTCACATTCTGCTTATGTCTATAAACACTTCTATCTTTACTCTCACATTCTGCTTATGTCTATAAACCTTCTGTCTTTACTATTTGTATTATCATACTTTAAAATCGCAAATGTAATCGTGTGAATTAGATTCTTATTTTAGTTTTTACAGTTAAGAATTAGAGAAAGGGTTGATGACACAATATTATTTATTTATTTTCCACCAATTTTCTATTTATTTTATTTTGTTACTATAATTATTAAATTATAAATTATTATTATTATTATTAAATATATTATTATTATTATTATTAAATATATTAAATTATAAATTATTATTATTAAATTACAATTTACTATAATTATTAATAAATGTAGAATCAACAAGTTTCTTCTGTTTGTATATATATTGTGCTCATTAATATTCGTTGCTTCACCAAACTTTAAAGAATCAAAAATATTAGAATAATATTTCTACATAACTCTGATAGGTTGAATGTTTCTCCACAGAAATCAGAACGTCGAAGAAGAGAGAAGATGACGGACCTCTTCAAGTTAAGGACGTGAGGCACTGGATCCATAGAAGTAAGGAATTGATTAAAACACAGTAATAATTATAATCAAGAATTAACAAAACACACGACTAGTTTCTAGAAGTCAACTGGTCATTCGCAAGTTATAAAACTAATCATTTGTTCATTATGATGCTCGTGTATTATTAGCAGGTTTTAACCGTCTAGCTGGAATGTATTGTTATATAGTAACTATTAGTGGGTCCTTTTATCCTAAACAATAATATTGTTAATTTTCACATGGCCTGGTTATCCTAAACTATGATATTGTTAATTGTCACATGGCCTGGTTATCCTAAACTATGATATTGTTAATTGTCACATGGCCTGGTTATCCTAAACAATGATATTGTTAATTGTCACATGGCCTGGTTATTCTAGACAATGATATTGTTAATTGTCACATGGCCTGGTTATCCTAAACTATAATATTGTTGAATTGTTATATGACCTGGTTATCCTAAACTATGATATTGTTGAATTGTTATATGGCCTGGTTATCCTAAACTATGATATTGTTAATTGTCATATGGCCTGGTTATCCTAAACTATGATATTGTTGAATTGTTATATGGCCTGGTTATCCTAAACTATGATATTGTTGAATTGTTACATGGCCTGGTTATCCTAAACTATGATATTGTTGAATTGTCATATGGCCTGGTTATCCTAAACTATGATATTGTTAATTGTTATATGGCCTGGTTATCCTAAACTATGATATTGTTGAATTGTTATATGGCCTGGTTATCCTAAACTATGATATTGTTGAATTGTCACATGGCTGGTTATTCTAAACTATGATATTGTTGAATTGTTATATGGCCTGGTTATCCTAAACTATGATATTGTTGAATCGTTATATGGCCTGGTTATTCTAGACAAGGAAGTTGTTAATGGTTTAGGTGTAAGACGAAGTGTTATTTTCTTCTTGAAAGTAACATAAATATATGGAAATGGAAATAAGGGGATAAACATAACAGAACAGAGCGACAAACCTGGGACAAGACTAATTCTTGATGAGACAGACTTGCCAAAACTTTCCAGATAACACAGCAGTTCTTACCTTCAAATTATCGGAACAGAGCGACAGACAGAGGGCAAGATTGATTCCTGATGTTGCTTAGCGATCTCATGAAGGCTGACCTGTAATCACAGATAGCCTGTATTAGGTTTCTGTTGGAACCACCTGCCAGATCAATGTCCAGAGGTTTATTATAAGCACGTAAAGACTATGCTAGGCAGTAGTAAATATTTTTGGTTGACACACTCACTATTGGTAAGAGTTGTTTCACCATCTAATATTTTGTCATCAATTAACAACATTTCTTTATAAACTTAAAGTATTCCATTTCGACACTTCACGAAAACTAACTACAGCTTATGCTTATATTGAAAAACCATATAAAAGAGAGACAGATGTTAATTGGCTACTATTCATCTACCTTCTGCTATATTTATTTTGAAAGAAGATCCATAGCAAATTTTGAACAGTGTATATGATCAATTTTCTTTAGCATTTGTCTTTCATTATTAAAGAAATTATAAATCATATATTGGTCAATTTTTAACTTTAAGTGTTAGTACTGAAACACGTTGTTTATACGGTAGCTAAGAGGATAAAGTATACAAAGAAATTTAAACTTGATTTTTAACTGCAAAGTAATCTGAATTCTTTATTTATTTGAAATGTTAAAGTGTGTTTGTCGTAAACTATTTTTATCGCGGTTTTCCGTCTAAGAAAGTGATTTCCATGAGCTTAAAATAAACTTTTATTTTAATCATTTACAGTTCGACACGCTCTGCGAACGGTCAGACTGTCCAAAAGCCGGAGAAAACACAGATATGATTCCATCACGACATCGTACGGTAAGAATGAACTCTGTAAAAATAAGGCGACATATTACGATAACAATAACGTCTGGTAAAATAAGGAGACATATTACGGTTGGAATAACTTCTAATTATATTAGGCGAAACCTTGAAATAAGAGTAACAAAGACAGAATAAGATATCTCGCGGTAAAAATCATTTTTTTTAATATTTTTGTCAAGTTCTCTAAAAGTGTCAAAGTTTTCTATGTATAAGTTTGGGAATATAACGGAATTTTAGCAAAGTTTTCTTTATAATTTTAATTTTCGGATAACATTAAATTCTTTTCTTGATTGTATCAGTTAAGACGCAACATGAATTTTTCTCACAACGCAAGATGGCGAGATAATCACCATCACAGGTGACGTTTCTTTCATTATTTTACTTTTAAACTTAACCTCGAAGATCTAGATAACCTATGTTTTTAGCAAATTTTTACTTTTAAACTTAACCTCGAAGATCTAGATAACCCATGTTTTTAGCAAGTCTTTACTTATAAACTTAACCTCGGAGATCTAGATAACCCATGTTTTTAGCAAATTTTTACTTTTAAACTTAACCTTGGAGATCTAGATAACCCATGTTTTTAGCAAATTTTTACTTTTAAACTTAACCTCGAAGATCTAGATAACCCATATATTTAGCAAATTTTTACTTTTAAACTTAACCTTGGAGATCTAGATAACCCATGTTTTTAGCTAATTTTTACTTTTAAACTTAACCTCGAAGATCTAGATAACCCATGTTTTTAGCTAATTTTTACTTTTAAACTTAACCTCGAAGATCTAGATAACCCATGTTTTTAGCAACTTTATATGCTGATGAGGTAGAATAATTAGACAGTTGCGGTTTCACAAACTAACTATAATATCTGGCACGTGCGTCAACTTGGCATGCATTTCTTTTTACCAAAACCAGTGTTAATTTCTTCAGTAAACAACGCTTAAGTTGAAGTTGTTATTACTGAAAGAAAGAATGTATTTTTCTGATTTAACAATACTTTTCGTGGTATTTTGTTTTTATTATTATATCTCTATATCAATGCTCTCAGTGACTCAGCGGTAAATATGAAGACTTATAATGCAAAAAACCTGGTTTAAATACTCGTAGTGGGAAGAGCACAGATAGCCCATTGTGTAGCATTATGCTTAACATCAAACAAACTATATTAATGTCCAGTTTAATAGAAAAGTTTTAGTAGAACTGATAATCGTTAGTTTTTAGTTGCTGTGGATTGTTTGTTGTTCGGCACAAAGCTTCACTATGGGCTGTCTGTTCTGTACCAACAACAGGGATTGAGCCTTGAATCTTATGGTTATAAGGCTTCAAGCTTATATTGAGTCACAAGGTTACATGAGTCTTCAGTTGTCGTGGATTGTTTGTTGTTCGGCACAAAGCTGCACTATGGGCTGTCTGTTCTGTACCCACAACAGGGATTGAATCTTGAATCTTATGGTTATAAGGCTTCAAGCTTTAGCTGAGTCACAAGGTTGCATGAGTCTTCAGTTGTCGTGGATTGTTTGTTGTTAAACTCAAAAGTGCAGAACGAGTTGTCTGTGCCAGAAGCAGAGACTTAACCTCGAATTTTAGGGTTATAAGTTCTCAAGCTTACCTCTGAATCACGAAACTGGGACTTAAATTTTGACAAAAGGATAACATTCAAACTAGGGATAGGACCTAAACTGTGACAAAAGGATAACATTCAAACTAAGGACAGGATTTAAACTGTGACAAAAGGATAACATTCAAACTAGGGATAGGACCTAAACTGTGACAAAAGGATAACATTCAAACTTAGGACAGGACTTAAACTGTGACAAAAGGATAACATTCAAACTAGGGACAGGACTTAAACTGTGACAAATTATAACATTCAAACTAAGGACAGGACTTAAACTGTGACAAAAGGATAACATTCAAACTAAGGACAGGACTTAAACTGTGACAAAAGGATAACATTCAAAGTAGGGACAGGACCTAAACTGTGACAATAGGATAACATTCAAAATAGGGACAGGACTTAAACTGTGACTAAATGATAACATTCAAACTAGGGACAGGACTTAAACTGTGACAAAAGGATAACATTCAAACTAGGGATGGGACTTAAACTGTGACAATAGGATAACATTCAAACTAGGGATGGGACTTAAACTGTGACAAAAGGATAACATTCAAACTAGGGATGGGACTTAAACTGTGACAATAGGATAAAATTCAAACTAGGGACAGGACTTAAACTGTGACAATAGGATAACATTCAAACTAGGGACAGGACTTAAACTGTGACAATAGGATAACATTCAAACTAGGGTTGGGACTAAAACTGTGACAAAAGGATAACATTCAAACTAGGGACAGGACTAAAACTGTGACAAAAGGATAACATTCAAACTAGGGATGGGACTTAAATTGTGACAAACAAAGTCAATGGACACTGTAATCTCGATCTTAAACCTTTAATGTTTCATTTATAACATACATGATTCAATGTGTTTGCACAAGCGAATGACTGATCACTTCGATCGTATCGATTACCTATAACTATTGTTTCGAACGTTCCATGTTGTGGAAACTGTTATACAGAAAGAATGTGTGGGACAGCTGTCAAGTAATTCCGAAAATAATAAAATAAAATAAGAGAATTAACCGAGCGAAGATCTGAAACAAGAAATACATTAAAGACACTAACGGACAAAAAAAAATTAAATTAGACTATAGATAAAATTAATAATTCATTATATAAATTAATACATGTTTACAAAAATGAATGAAGGACTAACGATCGTCGGAATTTTTTATTTCTAGTTCATTAGCAGAAAAAAAGTTGTCGACTAATCGTTCCTTGGTGGCTATTTTGTGTTGTTAAAGTAATAGAAAACCTAAAACAGGAGGAATTAGAATACTTATGAACGGAGTTAGCTGTAGTTTTATCCAGTGTAGGTGGAGCTAAGTCAGATGCAGAAAGAACTGATATAGTAGATGAACCCGAAATTCTAGCTTCAATCCTAGCAACAGTATATCGTAATGTGTACATTGTTGTCAGGGTTCTCCTTACAGATCCAGCGACTGTTGCCTTTGGTGATAGAAGTTTTAAAAGCTAATATGTGAACATTTTTGTCAGGGTTTTCCTTACAGATCCAGTGAATGTTGCCTTTGCCGATAGAAGTTTTTCCATGTTAATATGTGAACATTTTTGTCAGGGTTTTCCTTACAGATCCAGTGATTGTTGCCTTTGCCGATAGAAGTTTTCCATGTTAATATGTGAACATTTTTGTCAGGGTTTTCCTTACAGATCCAGTGACTGTTGCCTTAACTGATAGAAGTTTTTAAAGTGAATATGTGCATATTTTTGTCAGGGTTTTCCTTACAGATCCAGTGATTGTTGCCTTTACTGATAGAAGTTTTTAAAGTGAATATGTGAATATTTTTGTCAGGGTTTTCCTTACAGATCCAGTGATTGTTGCCTTTGCCGATAGAAGTTTTAAAAGCTAATATGTGAATATTTTTGTCAGGGTTTTCCTTACAAATCCAGTGACTGTTGCCTTTGCCAATAGAAGTTTTTAAAAGCTAATATGTGAATATTTTTGTCAGGGTTTTCCTTACAGATCCAGTGATTGTTGCCTTTGCCGATAGAAGTTTTTCCATCTTAATATGTGAACATTTTTGTCAGGGTTTTCCTTACAGATCCAGTGATTGTTGCCTTTACTGATAGAAATTTTTCAAAGTTAATATGAATGAACACCTACCTAAGATCATCCATAGTCGTCTTCAAGTGTGAAGGATGTTGTTACAAAAAAAGCTTCATCGGTTTTATACAAGGTACTTAACAGCATGTTGTAAGCTCAACCGTTTTATCACAAAAGATTTGTCAGAAAAAGAGTGTTTGTTAACCTCAAACCAGCACTTTCAGAGCAACTATATATATAGCACGTTGGAGGTCGTGACAAAGCACGTTATCAATCATGTCTGTTTCTCTTCCAACTTATCTTTGTTCATTCATACGAAGAACTTGTGTCATATTTGTCAACTGGAAATACTGTTGTTGTTAAGTTTCCATTGCAGCTGTTGCAGTAAATAAACGGGGCTCAAACAAAATATAATTAGCTGATAATGTTGTCTTAAATAAACGATGGTTATTTATTACGAAATAAAACCTTAAGCTTTGTGCTTAACACGTATATCAATATCCATTGTGTAGCTTTGTGCTTAACACGTATATCAATATTCATTGTGTAGCTTTGTGCTTAACACTTATATATAAACCCATTGTGTAGCTTTATATTAAGAAATATATCAGTAAAAGTAATACTCTTAAAGCTGTGTCTAGGTGTTAACACAAACAGTGTTACATAGTCAATGTCTCGGTGTTAACACAAACAGTGTTACATAGTCAATGTCTTTGTGTTAACACAAACAGTTTTACTTAGTCAATGTCTAGGTGTTAACAAAAAACAGTGTTACTTAGTCAATGTCTCTGTGTTAACACAAACAGTGTTACATAGTCAATGTCTCTGTGTTAACACAAACAGTTTTACTTAGTCAATGTCTAGGTGTTAACAAAAAACAGTGTTACTTAGTCAATGTCTCTGTGTTAACACAAACAGTGTTACTTAGTCAATGTCTAGGTGTTAACAAAAACAGTGTTACTTAGTCAATGTCTAGGTGTTAACAAAAACAGTGTTACTTAGTCAATGTCTAGGTGTTAACAAAAAACAATGTTACTTAGTCAATGTCTCTGTGTTAACACAAACAGTGTTACTTAGTCAATGTCTAGGTGTTAACGCAAGCAGTGTTACTTAGTCAATATCTAGGTGTTAACGCAAAGCGTTATTTAGTTAATGTCTCTGTGTTAACACAAACAGTGTTACTTATTCAATGTGTTAAGACAAGCAATGTTATTATTTCACTAACGAAGTAGACAGTAGTGTTTCCTGAAACTGATAATTCAGTATTTTAGATCCGGATTTACAGCGAGAAGTAATTTTTGAAGTTTGTACATTTCATGAAGTTTTTACTTCTGACACACACAAACCTATTGTTTTTTGTAAAAAATGAAACAATACACGTGATAAGTTACCGGTTGTCTGTATAGCGTACAGGTCAATACGTTTACACGTACGGTGATTAGCTTCTAAAGGCTGCTGTGTCTACGATATACCATATCGAGAGTGTCAGTGTATGGTCTTTTCACTTAGAAACAATCACCATATTTATCATCTACTTGTGGTTCTTTCAACTGAAGATTTCTTCCCATGCAGTTAATAATGTATCATCTTATATCCAGTTAAGCACAATGGGCTACTTGTGCTGTGCCTATCGCAGAGATCGAAATCCGAATTATAGGATTATACATTCTCA